CTTCTCCAAAATATATCTGTTTCATTCTGTAGGAAATAGTCATGACCATGCAAATCTTGAAACGTGAGAATGTTAGCTTTAGGATGGCCTTTCGCTTTAGGGATGATTTAACTTGCCACTAGAGACAACAAAAAGTAAAAGCATGCCCCACAAGCTCTGTGGCTGTAACCAGGGAAGTTGTTCGGACCAGAGGATTTTCTATACAGGCAGTACTAGCTATGTTGCTCTTGGTTCTGGGGAGTCATTCGCCTGCCACCGTGACTGTATCGTATCTGAGAATTCAAGCAGATCTGAGAGGTCTGTCACCTCCAGAGTTTCATATGGACCTGTTTCCTGAAGGGCTGAACACAAATCTTAGAAAATGCACCTTCAGTAGAAGGGTGTAATCGACTCTCCTTGTTCCTCATGGGCTTTATTTTGTGTGTTGTGTGTTCTCTGTTCTCATATGGAAACCTCATATGGTGGTTCCTGTTAACTTCTTCAAAAATGCTTTTCAAGCAGGAGTTTGACAAATGCCTACTGGTGCAGTAGTGACAGATACCCCTTCAGCTGGGCTGTTGGAACTGTTCGTGAGGGTTAAAAATAACCAGTAGGAGTTGCTTCTACTTAGGCTGCTGGTGAAAAAGGTGTTTATTAAACTGTTCTGACATTAACATAACCATTGTTAGATCCCCCCCATCTACCTTTATAGCTCTGAGTTTCTCGGATCAAAGGTAGCCAAAAGCTTAAAATAATACATTGTTTATATACCCCATCCCAAGTGCCTTTCCTCTGTCTTTGATGATGATGGTGTGGTTGGTTTGGAAGTTTCTGAAGACCGAGAGCTCTGGCTTTTTTTAGATTGTAAGATTTCAGCGCAGGGTGTTTGTCTTCATGTGTGTTTATATAGTATCTAAAATAGTATGGCTGTGGTCCTAACTGGGGATGTATGGGTAATGCTTTGTTTAAAAACTTGAGTGCTCATTCCTTCCTCCAAAGCATTTCTTATTCTGGGAAGTTTCTCTAGTTTCAGTGTAGAATACATTACTTTGCAGTGTCAAATATCCTTGAGTTTTGTTGTTTTTATTTTTATGTTCATTATCATGCTTTACCTATCTACTTTTTTTTTTTTCCCTTCCTCTTTTTTCTTCTTAGGGTAAAATTCCAGATGTATCCCTGAAATCTCTGTTGAAAAGAAAGAACAAACTTTTAAGATTTCCTTGATAAAATAGTACAAACATCTGCAGAGATGTGTTTAAGCTTTTTTTTTTTTTTTTTTTTCTGTCAGGGTAGATTGTGTTAAAGCTAGTGCAAGAGAACTTGAGATCAAAGTTGGCTAGTTTCTTGCACCGGAGAAAGCTGAATGAAGTACATAATTTAAAAGAAATGCTGCATATAGACTAGTAAATTATTTTATTTTCAATTTTAGCCTGTTATTAAAGTAGCATTAATTGGCAAAACAGTTTTAGAAATGAGATTTAAGCTGCCAAAATTCTACAGTCCGGATGAGAGAACCTTTGGGCAAAATTAATCAACAAAGCCTAAGCTGAGCTCAATAAAATCAACTTGGGCATTTGCAAATCCAGAACTGCAAAGAACCAGATGTTTGGTTTCTACTCAGTCCCTCTGTTCTGCAAGCGTAACTGCATGAATAGTAACAGGCTTATACATAAGGCTGTTGCTTGGTCTCAGAATGTGTTTGTAAAAGCATGGGAGCATTATTTTCCCCATTTTGCAGATAGAAGATAGAAATGCAGAAATTCAGGTTTTGGGAAATAACATAATTGGTCAGAGCTATGGAGCAGGAATACAGTAGTGTGTACCAATATCACGGAAGACAGGAGAAAACTGGGAAAGAGGAGAATCAGAATGTTGTTTAGGACTCGTGTGTTCCAGCTAGTCATGCTACTGGGCACGTATAAGTAAGAACCATTTATTTTCTTTCTTTCTTTCTTGTAGCAGGATGTCTTTTCTCTAGATTTTTTTTCTTTGTTGTCAGTATGGTATGAGACATTTAAATGAATGCTGCAGGCAGAGGCTGTAATAGGTTGAGTTCACTCATTGCTTGGACAGAAGTATCCAAGTCTAGAAACATGTTGGTTTACCCAGTATGTTTGGGTACCAAGCCATGCCTTGGAAAAGGTTAATGTTGTATTTGTGTACTAAATGGGAATGGGTGTATTCAAACAGCGCTTAGATTCAGGTTCCCAAAGAACATGGGTAGTATTTAGCAGCAGCAAATAAAAGCGTTTTCTCAATACAACTGAGAAAAACTTGGCAATTAATATTTGAAATGTTCAATATTTGAGTGAAAAGTATAACAATTAAATGATTCTGTTAGATCAAGTAACATTAAAGTAGAATAAAGACAGTTTTCAGTATTTTTATGCTTTGTTCAGATACTGCTTGTATAACATACTATGTCCCTTTTTAAATGAATGTCACAAAACGTAGTCTAGAATACTAGCTACAGCTCAAATTAAATTTCAAATAAAAAAGTTCCTCCCTACATATCTGTTGTCTTGAACTTTCAGAACATGGCTAATTAAAATGGGAGCACACTACTGTAATGTTGTGTAGTTTTTCTCCCATTAAAAGCTATGCAAGTACTTTTAACCAAGATACAACATAATTGCTGAAAACATCCTTACTGACAGCTCCACAGCATATTAATGTTCTTTTTTCCTCTAGATCCCCCTTTAACAATGAATCTCTTTCCTTTTAAATTGTAATTTTCCTCTCTTTCAACTACTTTTTCCTTTGTTCTGAATGAGCACGTGGCTCTTCTCCCCGAATCTGTTCAAGACAAGCCATCAGAGTTTTATGGGGACGTTATGGTACAGCGTTAGGTTTGCTTAGAGGTTCGCAACCTTTCACGGCTGTTACGTGTGACGGTGTTATTCTTTCAGAATGTAGAGATTGAGGGTGCTGGTAGAAACTTGCTCATAATTGGGAGACGATGCTGATTGGCGGTATCTTGTTTTCTTCTACGGCAGTTGTTCCTGGGTTCCAGTAAGTGAACTTGGTGAGAGCCAGGAGTTGGAGCCAGGGTGGAAAAAAAATGCCTCTCTGAAGATGCCACAGGTTCCAGCGCCTTGCTCTGTGCTGGCCCTGCCTGCATGCCGTTTGAAATCTGCACATGTGCTATCTTTGGATCTGGTGCCATAAATTGCTAACCCAATCTGTAGTAGTCCATCAAAACCAGATGGGATAAGTCATTTCTAACTTTGAGGATTCATACAATTTTTAGTTAAAAAAAAAAAAAAAAAAGGGATCCGGGAGTACTAATTAGTTACTGTTTGTTCTCTTCTTTGCCTGTTTTCCCCCTCACCCCCACACATAACCTTTGTTTTTTCTAGTTTTCTGTTGCTTTCTTCATCTCTTTTCTGTTTTCCCCCATCTTGCCTTTTCTTATATTGGACAAGTCAACAATTACAGAATAATTCTTTCAGGGTAGCCAGCAACAAGCTGCACAGTAGAAGCAGCAACCCTCACAGCAGCTGACCCAGTGCATTATGCACCTCTGCCGTGTAGATCATTACTTCTGTATTGTCAGTGAGTTCTCGTCCAAAGGTGCACCTTGAGTGAATTCTCAATTAGGCTACTGCGTGATGTTTAGGAAGTCATAGTCGGATGAGGATACTGGTCATAACGTTAATTTTGTATCTTGAAGATTTCTGGTATAGAACGTAGGGCCAAAACATTTAAAGTGATATAAATGCATTACAGTCTGTTAAGGGTATTGTTGTTCTTGATGCATAGTCTCATGCTTCTTCTATGGCAATGACCGTACAGAGCATCTCATATATTTGATTATTTTTCTTTTATTTTGCTCTTTGCTTTCTGTTGTGTTCAATTTGGATGAAATAAATACTAAATTTTTAGATGAATGTATCAAGATAATATTGCCTCTATTTCTTAGGCTATGCTTAAGCTACTTCTGGAGTAAAACTGAGATTTTTTTTCGTTCTACAAAGAAAAATTTTTCAATAAGCTACAATATTTTTATGTAAGTCCTTTTCACTGTATCCCGATGTTCTTGCTCTTTTCCCCTCTCCTTTCCCCAAATACTTCACCTGAGATTTATGTAAGATTTCCGCTGTCTTGGCTTTGGTATGCTTACAGAAGAGGTGTCGGGCAGTCTCGGGCCGGACTGAGCGGTAGCCCAACTCCCTGTCTTATGATCCTCCTCCCCGGGTTGGGGTGGGCGTTAGGAGCGTCGCCTTCAGACCGGACGCTTCCTGGCTGCCTTAGGTTTGCTGGGCGTGCACTGGGCAGCCATCCCGAGCCTTCACAGTTACCCATGCTTTTCCTCCGAAACACTCGATGTTGCTCCGCACATACAATACGTTCATTCTGTGTGGTTCCTGTGGGCAGTGCAGAAGCGGGTGGGAGGCCACTGCGGCTCAGCCCGGGCTGTTGCTGCCGCCAGGGCATTTTGTATAGGTCGCATTATGCTATTATGTGGGGAGAGGTAGGCCAAAGTGCTGGGTGAAGATGGGAAAGCCGTGGCAGCAGGCTGTCGACAGGCCGCAGTTCGCGTAACCGGTGTTTAGTTCAAAGTTACTCAGCAGGCTCATCCATTCCAACACAAACGTCAGGCTGTTCAGAATTATCAACTTCAGCAGTCAGAGAAGTGCATTTCCCTGAGGTGTCTAATGACATCCTCAAATGAGCTGAGGAAAGATTATCCACTATGGAAAAAGTTTCAGTAATCTTTACTGTGTCCTAATATAGTTGGTAAGAGTTGTAACATATTTAACTGTCAAGTTTAAATATTATATATATATGTGTGTGTATACACACTATTTTTGTTAAGTCTGACAACATGGCTTTAAACAAGTAACCTATTTTCTAGCACGCAGGATGCAGACACCCCCCTCTCCCCACACACAGTTAACTTAAATGAGTCAGAGTGTAGTCACTTCTACTTCTTGTCTCATTTAAAGGATAGATGTATACAGTGGCATTAATAGGCAATTTTCTACTGGTATGTTTAATTTTATCATTTTTGTTTCTCAGGATGTGATCTTCGTGGTGAGCTGGAGCGAAAACTGAGTTGCAAATCACCCCAATGGATGCGGACAGTGATGTTGCATTGGACATTTTAATCACAAATGTAGTGTGTGTTTTTAGAACAAGATGTCATTTAAACTTGAGGAAGATTGCATTAGAGGGAGCAAATGTGATATACAAGCGTGATGTTGGGGTAAGAGATTCAACATACCTCAATTATCTGGTTGTATGAATGTTCCTTAAGCTAAACACCCTTGTGTCTGATATCTGTGTATGGTGGATAGAGAAAAGCATAGTTTTATTTCTGTATTTCTGTCTTGGTAGGCATTTAGTCTGTCATACACTAAACGTACAGTAAGGGGAGTGGGTAAACATTGTCTCAGAAGACTGCAACTAGTGAGGTGAATATTTGGTATAAGGTATGTGATGAGACCTCTTACACCTTGGGGTCCATTTTGCCTCCCAAAATTTGATGGGTTTGTCAAGAAAATATGTCCTGATAAGGAATCAGCAAAGTGGGAGTCACTGTAGTAAGAAAAAAATTAGCACAATGCTCGTGGCTTTCAGCTTTTTATTCAGAGAAATTGTTTTAATCTGTTTTGTGAACACTGAATCACTGGCTGAGATATCCCAGGCTTATTTTGCACTTGTCAGGGGTTGGGTTGTCTTTTTTTTTTTTTTTTTTTTAATTACTGAAAGATGAAGGAACAATTCAAGGCTATTAAAAATAAAGAAGTTGATTTTTTTTTTTTTTTCCCAGTATGAAATTGAACTAACACTAACTCCCAATTCTTTTTTTTTTTTTTTTTTTTTTTAGAAAGTATTAATGAAGCTTAGGAAACCTAGGATTACGGCCACAATTTGGTCCTCAGGAAAAGTTATTTGCACAGGAGCCACAAGGTGAGTTCATGAAGATTCTTTCTCTAGCTGTAAATTCTTGTGCATTTTAAAATACCATGTTGTAAATGAAGATGATGGCATGAGGCAGTACTTGCCACTGGTAAGATTCACTCGCACTGGATCACATGTAGATCCTTGCCAAGCTACGCATTTGAGAGGAAGTTTTCTATGTGAAGCATCTGCCTCAGACTGCGTTGAAATCTTAAGCAACATCAGTTCAGCCTTCTGGGAGAGCAGAAGGGAAAACTAGTTTATGAAGAAGATCCTAGAGATTTAATTTGAGAACTCTTTAAGAAGACTCTGGTTTCAGCAGAACTGGGAACTTGGGAAGGGATGACCCTTTTTGAGGGATAGGTCTTACTCTTTCATAAAAGCCCACGTGAATTTAATCAAGTCATACAGAGTTGAGGGACTGGAAAGCAGCAAAAGCAGACTTTCAGATCAGATACATCTGAGACTTGCTAAACTCTTAGCAGCTGAATTCCTTTAAGGTATGTCTGCATTGTGGAGTAAGGATAACAATAAATTTGCATATGTCCTGATGTGTTTGATCTCTGTCTCAAAATGGGAGATGATTGTTCCGGATGTTAACTCCAGACTACCTATGATCACATTTTTAGTATCATGTATGATCAAAATAAGTCTCCTACTTCAGCTGGAGCCAAGTGCCAAGATATTCTTCAAACAGGGCATAAAGGATTCTATTTGAATATCTAGATAGTTAAAATATAATACGTAGAGTAGGATAAAATGAAGACTGTCCATGTGATCATGGTTCATGTGCTACATGATATAATGGTTCATTTTGTAGTCTTGAGTAGCTGTTGTGGTATGTGTGCACACAAATATGTACTCTATTTCTGTTAATGCTAGATTCTTTTCTTTCTCCTTCATAGTGAAGAAGAAGCTAAATTTGGTGCCAGACGATTAGCTCGTAGTCTACAGAAACTAGGTTTTCAGGTAATTCTAATGACAAAAGACTTGTATGACTCAAGCAATGCTGGTAGTCCATTTTCTAGAAAGAATCAAAAATGAGGGAGCATAAATTTAGCAGTGAGTGCGTTTTCACTTAGATGCCCCTTTTGTGTTGGCGTACGTTTTCGAGGTGCTGGTTAAAGAGAAGCTGTTTTATTTTGTCGATTTGTGTTTTGTTTGGCAGCTCAGAGTAGTGCTTCTTCACTGGCTAATGAACAACAAAATTTGTTTAATAAGTGAACCACCCACAGATGTTTCTTGGATTGAATTTACAATATCTTGAAAGATTTATTTGGAAGGAGTGCTGAAAAATATAAACCTAATTGTCATTTGAACATAATTTTCCCTCGTATCTGATGGAATAGCAGATACATACCCATCTTGTTAAGGGCAAGTTTAAGCCTTTTTAATTAAAGAGGGGGAAAAAAGTGCTTCTGCACAGCAGGAAATAAGCCAAAGAAAATACTTAAGAGACGAAACCCCTTTTTTCTGGGTGTGGGTTGACATTACCAGTCAGAAACACCACTTGTATTTCATAGTAAAGGTTGAAAAACAGCAGCGTGAATGACTTCAAATGACACATTTTAGTACTCTAAAACTTCCTGGTAGTCCATTGTGCTGTTTACCCACCGTTTCAGTTTACGGGTAGACAATTAAATAGACACGGTGGCTGTCCTTTGGCAGGGAGAGGCTGCCTTTGATTGTAGCGCATAAAGGCTGTGGTGACGGGCTGTGCCAGTAGTGCTGCACCAGGCCCAGGCAGAAGTTAGACACTCTCACTGTCACGAATGCATGCAGTAGGCTCAGCCCCTTGGAAGTTGGAATGGAGCATTACATCAGTGAGGTGAACAGTGCTTCCAGGGTGGATGCACCAAGCTTTATAATAAAGTGAGCAGTTTAAGTGGAATATATGTATTGATAGTTGACCTTTTATAAGGGTAAGTTGCTTCTGCTGGTAGTATCCTTCTAAAAAGCTTTGACTGAGGAATGGTAGGTTAGGCAATCTCAGAAAATGAACAAAAGTTTCTTCAGTGATATTGCCAACGCTGACTTCTCAGAAGTCAATTGTTTAGGCATTGTCTGTTGTCTATTTTATTGTCATCTGAGATGGCTGTGGTAAAGAATAACTGAAAGCCAGTACTTCGAGCGGGGTTTCAGAAAGTAACGGAGTAGGAAAACGATTTGCACTACCGGCCACTAGAGATCTGGAACAAAACAATTTTCACCTTTTTCCTTATTCTTAGCTTTAATTAAAATGGTGTATAGCAACAAGGCATTAAAGAAGTTTTCAAATTGCGTAAGAGTCTTGTAACAATTAAATTTAAGCTTTTCTCTGCTTACTTTGATATTCTGTGAGCTATTTAATTTAGTTTATTTTCAGTTTGGAGGCGTTTAGTACAGCAATACGAGTTGTTTCTGTGTCTCCTTCTTAAACTGTACTATAACGATATAATACAACTGTGAAGTTGTTCAACAGTTACTGCACCACAGAAGGATAAAGTAAGTGATTTGAGTCCATTAAGTACTGTTTAGATTCCTATCAGAAATGCATCAATTGCAAGGTTTTCGTTTTGAAATCTCATTAAAATATTCTAATTAATATTCTTTGAACTTGTTTTTTGTAACCCATACCTTTGCCTTGCTGTGAGCTGAATTTCTAATATCTTCTTTTCTTCTCTTTTGAAAAGGTAATTTTCACAGATTTTAAAGTTGTGAATGTTTTAGCAGTGTGCAACATGCCCTTTGAGATCAGATTGCCAGAATTTACAAAGAATAACAGACCTCATGCGAGGTACGGTAGAATTTTAAAGAATTATTGTCTTGGTGTACTTCTTAAGCTTTTCTTTTTCAGTTCTAGATCGTATCTTTTTTACCTTTCATTTTGTTTTCTAGTTATGAACCAGAACTTCATCCTGCCGTGTGTTACAGAATAAAAACTCTCAGAGCTACCTTACAGATTTTTTCCACAGGCAGTATCACAGTTACAGGTATTTTGATGTCAAAAATAAATATTTAACTTGTTGGGAATATTTAACTTTAGGGCTAGAAAGATGTTTAAACCAGTCAAAAGATATGTTGAAGGGATTTTGTTTCCCAGTGCTAGCACCTAGTTTGGTTTTGAGTGAAAGTGCCAGAAGAGTTGTAGAGAAAGTGTTAATATTGGTAGGTTCAAAAATTGCTTTGAATGTACATAGTCTGTTTTTTCTAAAAACGAAAGTGAGATAGGACTTGAGAATGCAGGTATTTCTTGTTTATTTAAATATTCAAATTTTCTTCCTTTTTTTTTTGTTGGTCCATAGTGCTGTAAACTACACTGCATGTAGCAGTAACATCCCTTTCATAAATACATGTTTCCAAACTAGAGATTTACGGAAACATATAGGATGGCATAGCATTTTGTCACAACTGAAGTTGACCGATACTTGCAGTTCTTCAGACTTGTGCTTTTTTCTGTTAAAGCTCAACTGAGAGAGAACCACCACCTGAATCGTAGGGATCGGTGATTTTTCCCGTGTAATCAGAGATGTGATTGTTCTGGGTTTTGGCAATGCCATGCCATGTGTTTTCCTCTTTCTTCCTAATTTTCATTTTCTACTCTGTGTTATGTTTGCTTGTGAGGTGTCCACCACAAGTTTCCAGACATGAGAAGTCAGGTTTTTTAGAGAATACCTGTTAAAATGGTCCAGAACCAAACCCCATCACCTTGTATCACTTCAGTGGGAATTCTATCTTGCGGTTGTTAGAGCTCAGCTACTAGCTCAGAAGTTGGGTAGGGATTTTTGTTTTCAGACCTTAATTCCTTAACAAGTACCTAGGCTTTATGGGGAATGTTTCTCACAAGATATTGGAAGAAGTGTTTTTTAAAGAAGACAAACTGCATCAGATTTGGTAGTCTGGAAATATAGGGCTAAAGAGTATTTCAAGATTGCAGTATATGTTCTGAACAGAGCAGCTGGTCTAGCCAAAACTAGAAACTGATTTAAAATAAATAAGAAGCTTGAGTATCACTGCAGTAATAAAAGGCTCTCAGTGTGTCTTGTCAGTCTCCTAATGAGATTTAGCCTTTCTGTAAGATTCTTACTTCTTTTCAGAATTCTTTTCAGAATTGTCCTTTCAAATACGAAGGCAAATATGATAAACATCAAAGTTTTACTTCCTTCTAGTTTACTTGTTACAGTGAGTTTGAAATATCTCAGACCTCTGTTGGTTTTGAAGGCTTCTATTTTGCCTAGACCTTTCTTCTAGGGGAAAAAAATGTCTGGTCTAATCTCACTGTACTCTCTCTCAGGTGCATTCAGATGAGGTTCCTTTTGGCCCTTCATGTTTCTGTGGTACTAGTACTTGTCATGCCACTAACTCAAATCATTTTATTCGAGATACATAATTAGAAATGTTATTAAAAAACCAGGAAGGTGAGGTATTTTTAATGGGACAAGTGAGTTACATTGAGAAAATAAAATAAAAAGTACTGATACGTAATAGGAAGAAGTATTAATTTTCTTCCTCCAAAATGAGCAATGAGGGGGTGGTTTTGGGGTTTGGTTTTGTTTTCTTCTCTTGTAGTCCCTGCAATGATGATCCAGTTTTTGCATCTCTTCAACCCTACAGGGAGCAGCATTTTTTAACAAGAATTATTCGCCTACTCATACTCTTGCTTTCTGAAAGCTTTCTCTAGAACTTGCATTTCTGCAATAGCAGACAAATTTATGGAAGGTGCAGTATCTGCCCAGAAGGCAGGTATCTTTCACCAGGCTTGGAAGAATCCTATTCCATTCCCTTTTCTTTTGGACTGAGTGTGTAAATTAAAATAATATTTCCAGAATTACTTAAGTAATTTCTAACTTGGGTAAATATGTTATTTATTAATTTTGGGAACCATTTTGAACAGTTTTCTATGCTTGGAAGAAACTTTTGAAGTCTAAAGGGAGGTAAAACCCCCCCCTGAGTTCACAGTCATCAAAGCACGTGAGAAATTGCTGTTTTCATTTATCTGCATCACCAAATTTCTATCCAGGATTAATTTGTTCTTGCTTATTTGCAGTCTTAATTGCTCATTGCATAAAATGGTCTAGTACCATTAGAGAGCATCACTAGTTCATTCTTCCTTTTCTTTCCCCAAATGCTCGTAGATCATTTTAGGCAACCTTCATACACTTTGTCCTGAGACAGTAACCATTCCCTGGCTTGCAGGTTTTGTCCTGAGATGGTGATGGAGCTGTTTGCAAAATCCAGACTAGAAAGTAATAGTCTGTAATTTTCAAACAAAATAACCTTGATTGAAACATACTTAGTTAAATCCAGCATTATTTAGCAGTAGTTTTTGTTGGTATGTTTTTAAAAGAAGGGATAAATGTGGCTAGGCTTCGTGTAATACAGATTCCTAGAAGATTAGCGTAAGTAAAAGTATTTCTTTTACCTCTGCCACTCAGCCTCTGCCTTCTTCTCTGGGCTGACTGTTTAAGCCAGTAAATCAAAAAGCACACAAGTTGTTATGAAATTAAATGACAGGATTATTTATTTGTAGTCTAGCCATTGACCAGAGTAGAACATCTTGCAGATTTCATGTGAGAGTCTTTTCTTGTAGTAAAAGCAATCAGAGGAACACCTTCTTAAGTTGGGAGGAATGTGGGAGAAATTATTTTTGTCCACAGTGTAAAGTTGTGGTAGCTAAAAATATTAAGGTTATTTTTAAAATATTATTGTTGTTTTAATTTCTGATTACCTGAATTTTCTCTTCCTACTGTGTTTTTGTTTGTTTGTTTGTTGTGGTTGGTTTTTTTTTTTAATACCTCTCAGGGCCAAACGTAAAGGCTGTTGCCAGTGCTGTGGAACAGATTTACCCATTCGTGTTTGAAAGCAGGAAATAAATTTTATAATTCGCCACTTGATGGTTTGGTTCCCTAACCAAGCACCTTTAAAGACTGCTGCACATTGGACTAAAAGCAAAAAGGAAAACTGGACCAACCATAGCAGAGAAATAGAGACTCTTTCACTTGCTCATGGCTTTTGGATTTTACTCTTAACAGTGCTGTATTGTAAAAACGGAAGTTTACAAGATATGAAATTGCTGCTTTTAAAAAGACATTCTATTTATTTTTGCAGTAATTTCTGTGTATTCATAAGCAAAGCTGTCACGATGTGCACTACCTTTAAAACATTTTTTTTTTTTAGTTTGAGCTTGTGTTTTATTTGTGAATAGTCTTTTACATTTTTGTATGCTGAATATTGGGCACCAAAGAAGCTGTAAAAGTTATCTTTTTCACCTGATGAATGTGCACAAATAAAAGTTTGGAAAATATTTCTCTTCATACCTGTTCCGTTATATTCCTTTCCCTTTTTCTATTACAGTTACAATTGTATAGTTGCAAATTAATTTGAAACAATGTAAGAATAGTCTTTTGCTGATACCTTCTGTTTCTATTTGTAGTATGTGTAAAACTTTGTGTGTGGGTTAGATTGAAGTCTATGGTAGTTACGTATGTTTATCCGAGGATGAAATTTGGTTTGTTCCCAGTTCTCTTAACTACATGCCAGACTTCAAGTATTTTCTTGCTGTTACGTGAAGACATTTCTAAATACAAAGGCCTACAGCAAGTGTTTTCCTATAGATGATGAGGAAATCTTATCAACTAAAGAAGCTACTGTAGAAAAACCAACTGCCTTGTCCACCTACTGGATGCAAAAGGAAAAAAGTTACTATGTGAGCTTCGGTTTTCAGGAAAGTGGTGTTGTGCTTCAACTCGAGAAGATGGTGTGGTCATGCTAATCCAGCCCCAGCCTATTGCTGAATGATTAACACAGACCTTTTCTACACTCTTCTTACTGTATAATGTTTTCATGACAGGAACTGCCAACAAGCAAAGAAGCTTGATTCTGGCATGTATTATTATTGGTATTAATCTTGGACTTGGAAGCCAGTAGATGTTTCTCTCAGTAAGTGCACATTTGAAGCGGAAGAGAGGTGAATGCTTAAAAGTAACTGCAAATGCTACTTTTAAAAAGATACAATAAATATGTATAAATGTACATTATGTCTTTTTTCCCTATCTCACTGAAGACAATTGTAATACTACTGTTGTGTGCTGCAGGTAATATACAGTCTTAGTGGGTGCTAAAATTAGTAAACCATGAGCTGTTACTGTACCAGAAGTCACAGCTGCGAAAGAAAGGTGGAAGAACATCCTGGAGAAGCAGATGCCTAGCATCACGTATTTAATCTGTCTGAGGGGATGGTATAGAAGTTGGGCCTGTCCATAGTGACTCCGTTTGGAAATTAGGGGAAGGAAGGAACAGTATGGGAAATACTCAGCCAACCCCCTCAAAACAATAAGAAAGAAGCAAGAGTTTGCCACAAGCCTTAAGTAATATATTCATAAAAGCCCTTTTAAGCCCAGTGTAGGTAGGAAAGAGAGGACTTGTGACCATGAAATTACTCAGTTGAGTTCAACAGCCATGGAATTCATGACAAAGAGCAGGGAAAGGGATTGCTTGCTTTACACAAGCTTTCCAGTTTGTGTAGAAGGTAACGTGGACCTGCGCACTCCTGACACTAATGAGGATTTTGTGAAAAGTCATGGAAAGCAATGGACAAACCGCCATTAGGAACACTTGTGCGTGATTATTATTGCAATTTAAAAAAGAAAAAGCAGAAGGTATTTGAACAATGAACAAAATTGTAGTGGGTTTTCCAGGAACAAAGCACAGTCCTAAACGGATGAATGAGGATTTGGCCATTATAACTACACTAGCTGCCTTAGATTAGGCTTGCCTCTTTTTTATTTTGGTTCAAATTGCAAAGCACTTGAGTGCTACCAGTGAAATTCTGGAGCTTTTATGAAGCATATGTCTCCTAAATTTATTTATGGAGAAAGAGGAACATTTTGCTTTTTTGTTAGCACTGTCACACAGGAAGAAAACTGCCTGTTAGAACAAAAATGAAAGGTAGTAATAAGCTGCAATGTAGTAAAATGGGAACTGTTTCTTTTGAAGTGCTGCTCGGATCCATGCTAGCGGTTTGAAGCCTTTGTAACAATCCATAAGGGAGCCGAAAAGCACGCTACTAAACTTGCAGGGTAGTACTGAGAGAGAATAATAGCAAATAAAAGACTCTTTGAAATGCGTGCTCACTTATCCTAGCTCCAAGGGAGCCTCAAACTGTTTGTGACAACGTTTTAGAACCGCTGATGACGAAGGGCAGTCGGCAGCGTTCACTTACACTCAGGGATGTCACTATTTCCCATCACTGCTCTCAATCAGTAGGGCCTGGAAGAAGCTGCTGCTTGTTTCTACGTGTGTACGTACGCACACAGCCCCCCTCCCCATCTTCGTGAGTTGGTCTTTGTTTCCTTTGCGTGTTGAGCTGCCTCCGCCTGGGCACTTGCTATTAACTCCTGCAGTCGTGATGCGGACCCTAGGCCAGACAGCGTGCCCCAGCGTGCAGGCTCTCACTTCCAGGGTGAGGAGCGGTGCTTTGGATTAAACTTAACTGTCAATCAATCAGCTCTTCCTCAATGGCTGTGTCTTCTAGAGCACTGTCCATCTGTCCCTGGATTCTCCAGGTGGATCCCATGCAAAACTCTGCACAGTGCTCAGCTGTGGCACCAGCAGCACCATGAAAAGTTTCTTTCACATTCCTTGGTTCTATATATACAGCCTACTAAGGGCTCCTTTTTGCAGTAGAATGGTAACTCTGACTCATTGCTCGCTTGTGAGTTGTCATAGCACTAGATCTTTTCCTGCAGTTGCTAGCTCCGTTTTATCTTTCTCTGACTTGCAATTAGCGTTACCAGAGCAATTTGCACTTAACGCTTTCAGAATTGTATCCTGCTTTTTTCAGACCCTTCTCAGGGATTTGCAGAGCTCTGAATTCCAACCCTGCCTCTCCCAGTTTAGTATTGCCTGCAAATTTAATAAGCATATTCTGTTCTGTAATCCAGTCCTGAATAATTTTAGATCTGGGACAGAGTGCTTCAGAGTGCTTCAGAGATCCAGGGATATGATTTGTAAGACGCGTCCCTTTTTTTCCCTTGTGTTTTCAGTTGATGAGGTTGGGACTGCCAGTTCTGTGTCATCAGATGTGCAGGCTTTGCAGTACAATTAGGGCTGCATTTATAAGGCTAAGTCTGTAGGACTGCAGTTAAGACTACAGCTATAATGATTTAAAAAGCCTTTGACTACAATATCATTACCTTTTGGAGGTATCTGAAGCTATCAGGGTCTCTGCAGTTAAACCAGTGTTGAAACTATGCCTTCTTCAGAAAAATAGGTATTTTTACTTACCTGTTTCTGCACTAAATAGGTGTGCATGGGGGAAGTTTAGAGGAGCTTGCAATGAACCCAAAACCTGTAAGGTGGGGAGACAATTTCTATGGTATTTTCCAAGTTAAATTTATTTTTGTAAGAACGCTCACAAAATTTATTACAGCAGAGGTTGGTTTGGGAAGCCGTGATGCTGAGAAAGATTTTGCAGAAGCCCCTTTCACTACATGTGATGTGATAGAAATTGTAAGCTGGTATGGTCTTGGACTGCATGTGCAAAGGTCTACTATCGAGAGGCAACAATCAGAAAACAGTACCAACAAGAGCAAAGGGGGGTGCTATTGGAAATGCGGGTAATCCACTACCTGCTGAAGTCACAGATCAGGAAAAGGATGAATTTCCTGCAATACAGTCTTACTGAAAATACATTAGATTACTTGGTTTAATCTCAGGCACTTTTTAGTATAAGAATGATGTTGGTAAACCAGCAGTGTATTTGCAAGACTACCCAGAGCCACCTTAATGTTTCTTGTTCTGAAGCTCGTTTAGTAGAACGCACGATACTGATAACTGTCCCCCAGCCTAAAGCAGAAGCAGGTGCAAGTTTTCAGTGACATCAATGCTAAAAAACCGAGGAAGGTACTAACATGCAGAAACCCTGAAAATGGTGTGTTCAGACTCTGTTTTTTGACAAGATCATTTTACAAGTGTTCAGAACTGATAATGGAATTTGTAGGTTTTATAAAAAGAAAGTATCACTGTTGATCTAAGGAAAAAAGCTTTATGGTATTAGCAGATCCTGCAGCCCTTTGCTGGCACTTGAGGAGTTCTAGATCTTTCACTTTTCTTCAACAAATGCTTTCCGGGCTTCCAGGCTTGACACACACTCATTTGACAACACACGGCACCGACCATGTGTCCCATATATTTTATTACTCTTTGCATTTCAGTAATAGAATGTGTTGTTTTCTCTAGGAAGAAAGCATTGATATTTTTCAAAACTATTCTTTGCTTGAGCATACTATGGTTAAAAAAAATGAAATTCAGGCTGTGTATCACAATGTGAGCTGATCCCAAAAGTGCAGAAAAGAGGGTGCGGAACTGAGCATTCAAAATAAAACATTTAAAAGAAATGCAACCAACCAACCAAAACAAACACCAAATCTTTTAGGTTTTGGCCACTTTGGTTCTTGAATTCCTCACACCTCCAAGTTAAGTGTGAAAATTTAAGGTAAAAAATTCAACCTTGTATGCATGAAACATCTACGCTTAAAAACTTCAGCCGCCCCTTTCTCCCCACCACCAGAGTCAATCTCTGACTTCACCTCCCCTTGCATTTTGTGTGCCGTCCTCATCCATGGCTTCTCTCCCACTGCTCCAGCCCCCCATTTCACACTGCTATGAAACTCAGGTGGCTGAGCTCAAATGCATTTTGCGTCCTTTTTCTGACGTATTTGTAGAAGTTACAGGAACACACTTACCTTTGCCAACTCCTGCTGCTGCAGCGCAGAGTAAACTGTTACTGCTGAGGTCAGGGAAGCGCAAGGAGACTCTGCTGTGAGCTCTCTCCTTCACAGGGGCAAAGGGACCTCCTAGCCTCTTGTGGTCGGTACTGGAACTGTAGACCTCAAACAAAATTCTAAGCAGGTCTTCAGTTTTTATTGGAAAATTCAAAGTAATAGAAACTGAATTTTTCCATGTCTCTGGGAAAGGTGGAAGCACCTGAGATCCAGGATGGAATTTTAGCTTGGGATGAGACCCTGCCGATTCACCATAGGGAATGAGAGCAAAAGGCTTTTGAGCTTACTGCTTCTGATGGGGCCTTCGGTCTGAGTCACCTACATCTCGGGTGCACAGCCCCACTGTCCATCCACGTGTTCTGGGTGTGCTTGGTCTCTCGTTGCTTAGAGACTACATCATAAGGGCTCACATGGACCTTTGTGAGGTGATTTTACTTAATCTTTGGTATGTTCTTTGTGCCAAAACCTGCATCTTGCTGAGCCTTATGCATACTATCATAGGCACCCCCGAAAGCAGCCTGGTCTCAGGG